GCCGTCCCTGAGCCCAAGACGCTAGCTGAGGCATTGAGCGGGCCCGATGCTGAAAAGTGGAAGCAGAGTGTGAAGGAGGAGTATGACTCTCTGCTGGAGAATGAGACGTGGGAGCTGTGTGAGCTGCCTCCTGGGAAGAAGGCCATTTCTTCCAAGTTGATCTTCAGGCATAAGTACGGACCTGATGGAGCGCTGACCCGCTACAAGTCAAGGCTTGTGGCTAAGGGGTTTCAGCAGACAAAGGGGAAGGACTTTGACGAGATCTTTGCTCCTGTGGGGAAAGGCACAACACTGCGGGTGTCATTGGCAATGGCAGCAAACCGCGGATGGCGGGTGAAGCAGATGGACATTACCACCGCCTTCCTCAATGGGATAATTCTGGAGGAGCTGTACATGCTACAGCCTGAGGGACTGGATGATGGGAGCGGCAGGGTGTGCAGGCTGAAGAAGGCCATCTATGGCCTGAAGCAGGCTCCTCGCGCCTGGTACCACAAGCTGGAGGAGACACTGCTGGCGGGGGGTTCAAGAAGAGTGAGTGCGATCACAGCTTGTTCCTGCTTCAAGAGAAGGAGCAGTTCCTCATGCTCCTAGTGTACGTGGACGACATCCTTCTTTTCTCCGAGTCGTCTGCAATGATTGAGCGTGTGGAGGAGATGCTGGAGATGCAGTTCAAGTGTTCCAAGATGGGAGATGTGAAGTACTACCTGGGGATGCTTGTGGAGAGGGACCTCGACAAGGGAGTGTTGAGGTTGCACCAGAGGAAGTACTGTGAGGGGCTGGCCGAGAAGTATGGGCTGCAAGATGGAGGGAAGCCAGCCACCCCACTGCCTTCAGGGTTCATTGTGGAGCCCTGTGCTGATGAGGAGGTGGTGGGTGAGAGTGACAGGAAGCTGTTTCATTCCATGGTTGGGGCGCTCAACTATGCGGCTAACCATACGCGGCCTGATATTGCCTTTGCAACATCCAGGCTTGCCAGTGTGGTTTCACGCCCCAGTTATGAGCAGCTGGAAGTGGCCAAGAGGTTGGTCCGCTATGTGAGTGCGACAGCATCAGTGGGCTTGGAGTACAGTACTGTGCGACAAAGGCTGCAAAGGGGTGCAGCTGATTTGGGCAAGGGGGAGATGCTCCTGACCTGTTACACTGACGCTAGCTTCAACTCTGTGAAGACGGATGGCACCAGCATTGGAGGCTATGTGTGCCTGTTTGGAGGTGGTGCAGTGAGCTGGCGCAGCAAGAAGTAGAACGAGGTGGGGCAGTCCTCGTGTGAGACGGAGTACATGGCCCTGCATCATGGGGCAAAGGAGGTGGTGTGGCTGAGGCGTTTGTTGGAGGAGATTGGAGTTGGTCAGAGGGAGCCGACAATCATGTTCTGTGACAATGAGTCGGCAGTGAAGCTTGCCAAGAACGGTTGTCTTCATGGGCTGACGAAGCACATCAGGCCCAAGTGGCACTGGGTGAGGAGGCTCCTGGACAAGGAGGTGCAGCTGGAAATTGTGAAGACCCATTAGCAGGCGGCTGACATTCTCACCAAGCGCCTGGCTGAATCTGAGCATTGGAAGGGCATGAAGCTTGCTGGGATGAGTGTGCATTGAGGGTGCATGTTTGAGCTATGGCATGTGGGATGATGGTTGGCAGCCAGAGGGGGAGTTTGTTATGTAATGCTATCATTCGCATTCACGTCTGTCTGCCTCCCATCATATGTTCGTGCGTTGCATGCGTGGTGTGAGCGTGTGCAAGAATTTGTGTTTGGTGTGGTTTGGATTCTCTGAGTGTGTGTGAATGTTATTTGGATTGAGCAGATATCTGAAGTGACTCCTCTGCTCAAGAGCTTTCCGACGAACCATGTATCGCTTCAATCGGAGCACGAACAAGAAAGTTACGAACGTTGGAAGTTCGTGTGCTTTTGATATTTGGTTGTGGTGATTATGGGAAGTTGTGGAGTTGGCTCCATAAGGGGTACAGACTTTTGGGGGTTGGGAAATTCGTCACTATTACTGTAGATGATGCCAAGTGGTTGGGAGAAACCAAATTGGGTTGGCAAGTGTGGCCAACTTGGGTGAGGTGGATTGTGGAGGTTGGGAAAGTGACTAGTTGGGGTACCCATAGAGAGGGGAATTGTGTGGCATGGGGTTTCCTTGGTTGGGGACTCTCTTGGGACCTTCCCTCTCGTCCTCCTCATCCCCTCCCACCTGGTTAATTGCCACTCTAACTTCTTTGTGTGGTAATTGTGGAAATTGTGAGAACTCTTGTGATTGAGTTAATTTTCTATGGCAGCATACCCCCCTGTGCGCCGAAATTCATAACTCAAGAAATACTTCATCGTTCTGTACGATTCAACTTGGGAATTGTAGCTGTGCTGAAGAGCTACAACATATCTGAGTTTTGTGAAGTTTTGACTGTGCGTTTTTTGTCGACGGCGTTTCCTGTGAACTCGACGAGTCTGTCCAGAATTCTAAGCCAACGATTTTGTGATATTTCGGCCTCTAAGCTTCATAGACTCCGTCCTTAGTCTCTAACAAACACCACCAGCCCCACCTGAGCCGGAGAGCGATGACGACGACGTACAGTAGGTCGTCCTGCAGCATCGCCACGATAGCACCGGAATGCAACTCCTCGAGCTTCACGCCGCCACCTCAACGGCACCGCGTGCCATCAAACCAAGGAATCCGCGCTAAGCTCTTTCACGACCGCATAGCAAGGAGTGGCGCGAAGCAATGGATGCCGAAATCAAGGCCCTCGAGTCCCGAGATACCTGGGTGCTCGTTGACTGCGCCGCAATCAAGGGTGCAAGGATCCTCTCCGGCAATGGGTCTTCCGTGTGAAGACCGCAGCGGACGGCACGATTGAACGCTTCAATGCGCGGTGGGTCGTGCGTGGCTACGATCAGAGGTACGGGATTGACTTCGATCAAACATTCGCACCCGTAAGCCGTCACACCTCCGTCAGAATTTTCCTCGCCATCGCCGCCGCTCCGACAAATCGACGTGAAAAACGCGTTCCTATGCGCATTAGTAAATGCGGTGATCTACGTGGAGCAGCCGCACACTTACGGAGAAGGGGACTCGCGAGTGTGCGAACTGCGCAAATCGCTTTTCGGGATAAAACAGGCACCAAGGCTCTGGCAGCAGTATCTGCCCAACATTCTGCTCGAAATCGGCTTCAAGCAGATGCCCCACGACCCAGGAATGTACCGCCGCGATTTCCGCGGGGATTACATTCCGCTCACCGTCTACGTCGACGATTTGTTGTACACAGGGTCAAGCAATGAACTGCTCGAGCAGTTCGAGAGGAATCTGGCAGGGCGCGTCGACATCACCTGCAACTACGAAGTGAAGCAGTTCTTAGAACTCAATATCTCCTACGAGCCGACAGCTATCCACCTCTCGGCGGCTAAGTATGCAGAGGAGCTTGGGAAACGCTACAACATTTCCCCTGGACCGCTTTCCACCCCTTACCGCACTCCCAGACCGAACCACAAGCCTGATAACAAAGCCCTATCCCCCGATGGCATTCAGACTTATCAGCAGCAGCTGGGATGCTTGCTCTTTGCCTCTGTCACCTGCAGGCCCGACCTTTCCTACATTGCGAGCCAACTGGCTCAGTACTCTCATAAACAAACGGCTAAGAACCTTCTGGATCTGCAACGGGCTCTACAGTTCTTCGTCTCAATGCCCAAGATTGGGCTCTGATACTCGACAGTACCAACCCCATCCTTCAACCTCATCGGCTACGTGGATGCTGATCCAGGACTGGCTTCCTGTTCCGCCTCGAGCCGACGGGACCACTCTCATGGAATTCGCAGAAACAGGAGCTAGTTGCCCTGTCATCGGCGGAAGCGGAATTCATCGCAGCAACAGCAGCAGTTCGCGAAGGCCTCTACTTACAGGAACTCCTACAAGAGGCGAAAATCCCAGTTTCGCCTACCTTCCGCCTGCACTGCGACAACCAGATCGCGATCCGCATCGCGAACAAACCTGGTTTCGTCAACCGCACCAAGCACATTGCGATGCAGTATTTCTTCGTCAAGGACGAAGTGGACAAGGGCAAGGTCAATTTGACGTACTGCCCAACAGGTGACATGGCAGCTGACTTCCTGACGAAGCGACTGCCACGCCAGCAGTACCAACACTGCTCCGAGCTCAGTGGAGTGGTCAAGCAGGTCAAGATGAGCTACGGCCAGGAGTGAAGGGGGGTGTTACGAATAGTAAAATATCATCATGCACTCCTGACCGCAGCTAAGTGAAGCACGCGGTATCGAGAATGAATGCGAGGAGTCAGAGTTGACCCAAAGCGATGCAGACGGTTAGAGAGGATCTGGACCGTCTGAGCAGACGGCATTGGGCAGCTGCAGGGAAGAGGGATTTGGCGGGAACAGTTTCGTAACTGTACGCACCGCACGGTTGGGAATGAATCTGAATAAGGGAATGTACCCCTTAGAGTACATGGCTAGCTAGGACGATTCGAATTCCCTGTACTCATATTTATACTTTCTGTATTTGCATGTTTTAATCATCTCAAGCATTTTACATTCACTCTGCTATTGAGGTCAAGGGCCCACCACCACAAAGTCAATAGTGTGCAAACCTTCCTAAGGTGATCCTGGCTACGATCAACTTCTGATCGTAACAGTACTGAGTTCGATGTCAATGCAATCATTCCTGCTCATTAGTTTATGACATGGGAAAGTGTCGCGAGAGAAGAGAGTGAAAGCAACGAGGGTGTGTCTTCAAGAGATGCTTCCGATGTGTCGTTTGGAGATGGTGGGAGGGGGCCCGACAAGTCTGATGGCTCACAGTCTGGTCTGAGCTCATTCATGCGCATTGGCTTGATGGGTGATGCCCTCTGGACTTTGCTGCAATAAATCAAACTAGATGGCGCTGAGTTTGGCCATCATGCCTAAATGTGGGCTACCGTATTTAGCACGGAACTAAAAATGCAGTGCTGCAGGCAGAAGCACTATGCAATATGGTAAGAGCACTTGGTGTATGTCTTGTTGAGACATGGATACGATTAATGTAATGAATGAGGTATGAAATGGGAGGCAAGAAGTACACAAGGTTTCGGGTTCAAATGAAAATGTGTGCTATGATTGGGAAATTACTGTCAAATATAATAGTTATAGGCTGTAGTGAGTTGCATTCTAGAGGGTACAGATGCTAGGGTTTCCTATTTGTATCCAACGCTTTGCTAGTTCATCCATTCCGTTGTTCGCTAACTTTGAGATGGTATCATCAGTAGGTGTCGATCCTCTCGCCTAGCCTAGCCTTGCTCGTGCCCTAGCTCCCTCCGCGCCCTTGCACCCTCCACGCCCTAGCGCCCTCCGCGCCCTCCGCGCCCTCCGCGCCTTAGCGCCCTCCGCGCCTTAGCGCCCTCCGCGCCTTAGCGCCCTCGCGCCCTCCGCTCGCCCTAGCGCCCTCGCGCCCTCCGGACACCCTTCGTCGCGTAGCCTCCCCTCCCCCTGCCCGTCACATCGCCTCCCCTCCCTCTGCCCGTCGCGTTCCCCTCCCCTCCTCCTGCCCGTCGCGTCCCGTCGCCTCCCCCTGCCCGTCGCGTCGCCTCCCCTCCCTCTGCCCGTCGCGTTCCCCTCCCCTCCTCCTGCCCGTCGCGTCCCGTCGCCTCCCCCTGCCCGTCGCGTCGCCTCCCCTCCCCTCCTCCTGCCCGTCGCGTCCCGTCGCCTCCCCCTGCCCGTCGCGTCGCCTCCCCTCCCTCTGCCCATCACGTTCCCTTCCCCTCCTCCTGCCCGTCGCGTCCCGTCGCCTCCCCCTGCCCGTCGCGTCGCCTCCCCTCCCTCTGCCCGTCGCGTTCCCCTTCCCTCCTCCTGCCCGTCGCGTCCCATCGCCTCTCCCTGCCCGTCGCGTCGCCTCCCCTCCCCCTGCCCATCGCGTTCCCCTCCCCTCCTCCTGCCCGTCGCGTACCGTCGCCTCCCCCTGCCCGTCGCGTTGCCTCCTCTCCCTATCGCGTTCACTCCCCTCCCCCTGCCCTATGCCACGCCCTGCCCTAAGCCGTGCCGTGCCCTCCGCAGCGACCTAGCCCTAGGCCACGCCCTCACCCTAGGCAGCGCCCTAGCCCGTGTTCAGCTCCAAACCCGCGCCCAGTTTGCGCCCTAGACCCGCCCGTGCCCAAACCGCCCACTCCTTCTTGTGCCAGCGCTCCCTCACCGTCTCGTGCGCCTTCGCCCACACTCGGCAGGTGGACCCTTTCCCACCACAGCCCTGTTCGCTGGGCCCTTGCTGTTCCTACTACCATTGGTATCTCGTTCAGCGGCTGGCAGCCGCTTCTCTCGCCGGTCACCTAGGTTAGACACGTGTATCCCCTCTCTCCTAGCCACTAGCCTCTAGCGCTCATCTCTGGCGTTCCTCGCCCTTTCACGCCTAGTCTAGGTCGCTCCGTATTCCTAGCCACTAGCTCCGCCGGCCTCTTGCTTCGCCACAGCTGGCGCTCCTAGCTTTCACTCCTCGTTCTTAGCTCCGCCTCCGCCGTGCTCTAGCCACCTCTAGCATGGCCTCCGTTATGGAATCCCGTCGCCTTCGTTTCGATGCGGAGGGACGCCTGATCGAGTTCGGTACCTGGCAGCGCCACACCAGCCGTTACCTCACCAGTCAGTGTCAGGACGGCGCCACCCTGTGGGCCCACGCGTCTGGTGCCCTCAAGGCGCCCCAGTCCCCCGCCCCCCTGCCTACCGGCTCGGAGCCGACTCCTGTGGCCCAGGCGGATTACGACCGTCGGGTCCTGGCCAGGGACGTGTGGAACTCCCGCGACGCTGCCGCCGCTCTTGCGCTGACGGAGCTCCTCCCACCGACTGAGGCCGCCCACTTTGACCAGGTGGAGACAGCTCAGGGGATTTGGGATGCTATTTTTGCGCGCTATTCCACCCCTTCCTCTGCCTCCCTCAGTCGCCTCCTCATGCCGATCGTGTTTCCCGACCTCGGCTCGTTTGCGACTGTGTCCAACCTAGTGACTCACCTCCGCTCACTTGACGCTGGTTTCCGAGCGGCCTGTACCGACGCCCAGCTTCTTGCTGCCCCCCCCCCCCCCCCCCATGTGGCTCACTGTACATTGGTTAGTCACCCGCCTCCCTGACCGGCTTGCCACTGCTCGCGAGGCGCTTCTCCAGAAGCACCCCACTGAGCTTACTATCGATCTCCTTGAGACCACTCTCGGGACGATCGAGAGTAGCCTCCTCACCGTTGCCTCCGCCACTGACGTGGTGGCCCCCCGTCTCTTTGCGGGGTGTGCCGCCCCTCAGCTTCCCACTTTCACTGTTACCCGCGCTTCTGCTGCTGTATCGGTTTCTGGGGACACTGCTGCCGTTTCTGCCGCAGACTGGCAGAAACGGGGCAAGAGTGGCAAGAAGGGCGGGAAGGGGGGAGGTGGAGGCGATGGAGGCGGCGGTGGAGGTGGCGGTGGAGGTGGGAGCGGCGGTGGTGGAGGTGGTGGCGGCGGCGGCGGCGGAGGTGCACAAGGCGGAGGGGGCCTTGGAGGAGGTGCAGGACAAACAGGCCCGCCCATTGGCGGTGGCCCGACCGGTGGGGGTGTTGGACCCCAGCAGCAGCAGTCGCAGCAGCACCAGCCACAGCAGGGACAGCAGCAGCAGCAGGGACCGCAGCAGCAGTTCCAGCAGTGGGGGCCCCCACTAGCCCCCACTGCAGTGGGGTCCGCAGCAGCACTGGGGTCCCCCACCGCAGTGGGGTCCGGGAGGACCAGGGAGCACCGGCCGCAGCGGCAGCACTTCCAGCTGGGCCCCTCGCCCCCCTCGCCGTGACACTGGCCCCTGCACCCACTGGTGCCTCACCGGACTTGGCAGCCCCTGTCTCTGCGGTCGTGACGACCACTCTGCCGCACGGTGCTTCCGCCGCCTCGACGACCTCTACCGTGCTCGTTGGGGCCCTACGGCAACCACGCCTCGCTGGGCTTACCTGTTAGCCCGTAAGATTGATGTGTTTGATCGGTCCATGGACGATGCTCGTCAACATGCTTTGTATGCTGATGTTGACGATAGTGCTGTCGGATCTGTGTGCTTGCGTATTCGTGGATTAGCTTGCTTGCCTTCTGCTAGTGTAGACTTGTGCCTTTCTAGTCTAGGTGCTTGTGTTGCTGCTCTAGGTGCTTGTGTAGCCACTAGGACAGGTGACCCTCCGGCTGAGGCGTCCCTGTCCTTCACGCTGGACCGTCTTGTGGCACCACCGCCTTGGCCGCCCGTCACTCCCCCGCCTCCGTGGGATGACCATTCACGGGCTTGTCACCGGTCTCCCACGCACCTTTCCATCGCTCCCCACCTCCCCTACTCCCCCTTGCACTCCTTGCGTTGCTGGTCGCTTACGCGCCACTCCCCACTCCTCCTCCCTTCGTTCGGCCACTGCTCCCTTCGAGACCCTCCACTTGGACGTCTGGGGCCCTGCCCCGACGCAGGGGTCTGGGAGGGAGCGTTACTTTCAGGTGGTCGTCGACGACTTCTCCAAGTACACCACAGTGTTCCCTTTCGCGAAGAAGTCCGAGGTGACTCCTACGCTGATCCGGTGGCTTCTGGCCACTGAGGGCACTCGTGGTTGTCGTGTCAGTTGCCTACACTCCGATCGTGGGGGCGAGTTTTGCTCCGGCATTCTTGCCGGATTCTGCGGCGAACAGGGCATCGTACAGTCCTGGACGCTTCCGGAGTCCCCACAGCAGAATGGGGTTGTTGAGCGCCGCATTGGCTTGGTCATGGACATTGCTCGCACGTCCATGATCCATGCCCGTGCGCCCCATTTTCTGTGGCCCTACGCGGTTCGCTACGCCGCACACCAGCTGAACCTCCAGCCGCGCGTCTCACGGCCCGAGGCTTCACCGACCAGTCTTTGGACCGGGTCCCCTGGTGTTGGGTCGGTCTTTCGTTTCTGGGGCTGCCTTGCGCTTGTTCGCGACACCTCCGCGGACAAGCTCTTGGCACGCGCCGTCCCCTATGTCTTCCTTGGTTTCCCGGTGGACTCTGCTGACCGGTCCTTTTACCACCCTCCCCTCCACCAGTTCCTAGACTCCCGTGACGTCCGGTTTGACGAGTCCGCTACGCAGTCCTCCTCACAGTCCCCTTAGCAGCCTTCGGCACTTCCGCAACAGGTTCCTGTGGACTCGGTTGGTGCTGGAGCTGGAGGTGCTGGCGCAGGTGGCGCTAGCTCTGGGGGTGCTGGAGCTGGAGGTGCTGGCACTAGAGGTGCTAGTTCTGGGGGTGCTGGAGTTGGAGGTGCTGGTGCTAGTTCTGGGGGTGCTGGAGTTGTAGGTCCTGGCACTAGAGGTGCTGGTTATGGGGGTGCCGATGCTGGAGGCGCTGGCACTGGAGGTGCTGGTTCTGGGGGTGCTGGTGCTGAAGGCGCTGGCACTGGAGGTGCTGGTTCTGAGGAGACTGGAGCTGGAGACACTGGTTCTGCGGAGTCCACTCAGCCTCCCCACCGCCACGACACGCGTCTCCAGGCGGCCCGTTGGCGTGAGCGTGATGAGCAGGTGCTGTTGGAGAGGGAGCGGCGGGAGTTGCGGCGGTTGGACCTGCTGGAGCAGCAGCAGCAGCAGCAGCAGCAGACACCACTGCCGCAGATGCGACCGCAGCAGCTCCCCCTGGAGCGGCAGTTGTTCCCACCCGTGAGTGGCCTTCGAGCCCTTGGTCTTCCCTCCTCTCCTCCTGTTCACACTCCGTCCCCTCCAGCATTTGGTCCCACGTTTCCTCCTCCTGACGCCAGTCCGGCGGTCTGGTCTTCTCCTCCACCGCAGTCTCCTCCACCTGTTGTCTCGCACTCTCGTGTCCGTCCCTGTCCTCCGCGTGCTCGTCACTCGTCTCCCGTTCCCGACCTCCGCACAGCCCTCCTTTGGTCGTCTCTTTGTCGTCCTCCTCCTGAGTCCATTCTCTCGTCTACTCCTCCGTCCTCTCTCCCTTCCCCCCCTACTCCTGTCACTGACTACTACCGTGCCGGTTGTCCTGTTGTCCCTTGTGTCCTCGCCACCCTTGTCACCGACTCTCGTTTCCCTCCGTCGTCTGTCTCGGCTCTCACTGCCGCTGTCGCTGAGTTTGCTGCCGCCAATCGCCTTGACTACACCACCCGTGTGGTGCCAGCTCCTCCCTCTCGTCCTCTGTCCGTCGGGGGTGAGTTTGCCCTTGGCTGTGACGTCCTAGAGGATAGAGAGTCTGAGCTGGAGTACTGGGCAGCCGCTTCTCCCTCTGTCTGTGCCATGCTCCTATCCCCTAAGGGAGACCCCGACGCCCTTGGCATACCGACTCCTCGCACTTACCGCGAGGCAGTGTTAGGGTCGTGGGCCTCACAGTGGAAAGCGGCTAGGGCCTCGGAGTTAGCGTCTTGGAGATCCACAGGCACCTACGTCGACGCAGTTCCCCCTCCCAGGGCGAACGTAGTCGATGGCATGTGGCTCTTCAAGGTGAAGCGGCCGCCTGGTTCACCGCCTGTGTTCAAGGCGCGCTACGTGGCTATGGGTTTCAGTCAGCGTGAGGGAGTTGACTTCTTCCAGACCTTCGCCTCGACCCCGAAGATGACTACTCTTCGGGTGTTACTGCACGTAGCAGCACAGCGAGACTACGAGCTGCACTCCGTTGACTTCTCTACTGCGTTTCTCCAGGGCCGGCTACACGAGGAGGTCTGGCTGCGCCGCCCTCCTGGCTTCACTGACACCTTCCCACCAAGGACCCAGTGGAGCCTGAGACGGCAAGTCTACGGTCTCCGCCAGTCGCCCCGTGAGTGGCACGACACTCTCCGCCCCACGCTTCGTGACCTTGGGTTTTGTCCTTCCTCTGCCGACCCGTCGCTGTTTGTTCGCTCTGGTTCCACTCCTTTCTTTATACTAGTGTACGTCGACAACTTGGTCTTTGTCACAGCAGATAGGGCAGCTCTGGCTCAGGTGAAGTCCGAACTGCGAAGAGACACAAGTGCACTGACCTAGGTGAACTGCAGCGCTACCTTGGCCTGCAAATCACCAGGGACAGAGCCACTCGCACCATCACACTGACTCAGTCACACATGGTGCAGCAGGTCCTTCGGCGGTTCGACTTCCAGTTCTCCACCACACAGCCCACACCTCTTGCTTTTGACCACAGATTCACTGGCCCCTTTCCCGACGAGCCCTTTGAGTCCAGTGGTCCCTACGCAAAGTTGGTGGGCTGCCTCATGTACCTGATGACTTGTACTCGGCCAGACCTCGCCTTTCCCCTCAGCATACCTTCTTGCTTTGTTGTGACTGGGAGACACCGTCATATCCATTGGACAGCTGCTGTGAGGGTGGCGAAGTACATGGCGACTACATCAGGCATGGGGCTTGTGCTTGGAGGGACTCAGCCAGTGGCGTTGATTGGTCACTGCGACTCTTTCTACGCTGACGACGTGGAGACTCAGCGCTCGACTCAGGGTTACAGCTTCAGTCTGGGAGCTGGTGCTGTGTCGTGGAGGTCTACACGGTCGTCGTCTGTGGCTACTTCCAGTGCAGAGGCAGAGATCTACGCTGGAGCCATGGCGGCACAGGAGCTTCGATGGTTGACCTTCTTGCTCGCCGACCTTGGTGAGCGGCCTCGCTCTGCACCGATCTTGTACGCTGACAACAAGGCCATGATCCTCCTCTGTCGAGAGCCTCGACTGGAGAGCAGAGTGAAGCATATTGACGTGAGGTACTTCCTCCTGCGAGAGCTGCAGCGACGCGGCCAGGCACGCCTGGACTTTGTGGCCTGAGAGGCCAACACTGTAGACGTCTTCACCAAGGCCCTGGCGCTTGGTGATCACCACAGGTTTTGTGTGCAGTTGGGGCTTGTTACTTGCTCTGCTTGTTGTGTTTTCCTGTATGTATATATCATAGTGAACTCTTGAACTGGCATTGTGGCCGCTTGCTTGTGCTCGGAATTTGTGTGGTGTCTTTGAGATCCACCCTGAGCTTGCCTTGCTTCTTGTCTTGACTGGTCTTGTGACCGTTTGTCTGCCTTGCTTGTATTAATGCCCCTCACTTAGCCTATGGGGGTGTGCCAAATATACCAGTTATAAGCTGTAGTGAGTTGCATTCTAGAGGGTACAGATGCTAGGGTTTCCTATTTGTATCCAACGCTTTGCTAGTTCATCCATTCCGTTGTTCGCTAACTTCGAGAATTACGTGTATAACGATAAAGAAACGGTTGTCCTACAAAGAGTTACATTTTCAGTGTTGTGTGATCTAACACGCACGCCCTGTATTCCGCCCCGCCAACTGCACCACGGCCGTGACATCCTGTTCCCCAGCACCACTGCCCCTCACATCCTGTCCTGCTCGTCCGCCTCCCGCGCTGCCTTGTTGGCAGCTTGGATCGCCAGATACAGCAGATAGCCCTGGGAGAGAGGGGCGGGCCAGGAGGGTGGCAGCATAAAAAGTGGTTAGGGGTTGAAGCAGTGTAGAGCCAGAGCAAGGTGGGAAGGGCATGGAGGACAGAGCAGTGCAGCGCTGAGGAACGGGAGAGAGACACTGTGCGGTGCAGCCTGCAGGGATCGATCAGCGGAGGGTTGGGAAGTCAAGCACGCACTCTAGGGTACTCCTATCAGCCGCCACTAGATGGAGACGTGTGACAGAATGCACGGGGCGCGTGGCATGACACATGACTGACGCATGCACGACACAGGGGAAGAGCGAGACAGGTATAACGCCAGGGAGAGATAGGGGCGAATGGAAGGGATGGAAGAGGGAGGGAGGAAGGGGGGAGGGAGGGGGGAGGGAGGGAGCGAGGGAGGGAGCGAGGGAGGGAGGGAGGGAGGGAGGAGGGAGGGAGGGAGGGAGGGAGGGAGGGAGGGAGGGAGGGAGGGAGGGAGGGAGGGAGGGAGGGAGGGAGGGAGGGAGGGAGGGAGGGAGGGAGGGAGGGAGGGAGGGAGGGAGGGAGGGAGGGAGGGAGGGAGGGAGGGAGGGAGGGAGGGAGGGAGGGAGGGAGGGAGGGAGGAGAGAGAGAGCGATTAGTAAGGGGAGGAGAGAAGGAAACGGGAAGCGCAGAGGGTGGGGCGGAGAGGGGTATGCTGGGGCTCACGGAGGAGGGGATGCCGGTGGTGGCGAAGAGCAGCAGCGTGGGCGCCCACAGCGGGCTGTCGCTGCTCACCACGCCGAACAGCGGGTTGCCCGCCGTGAACTCAAAGATGGACCCCACCTGCACATGCGGTTCACAGGGGTTCACACGGGTGCAATGGGGCAGCCTGAGAACGGAGGGCGCTCGGGGTGGTGAAGGCATGCGCATACGCGCTGTTCCCCTCGCTCATCAACTCGCCCTCTAGCCACCGGGCCTCTATGCTCATGTGCCTTGCCACATTGACTACCCCCGTCCGCTGGTGCGCCGCCTCTGCCGTGGTGACCGGTGCGCGGGGTGCAGCGCTGCGGTGCGGGTGGAGGAACACGCACAGCAGTGCGCGAGGACGCGAGCCCACCTGTTAGTACTCCAACACGCAGCCCAGCCCACCCATCATCAGCAGCCCCGGCACCACATGCGACCTACCGCGGCGATGGCGACGAGGACGGACGCGAGGAGGTACGCCCAGAAAGGCACTTCAAACGGCTTGTCGCGCTGCGCCTCGGCGCGCGCCCACGGCGGCAGCTCCCCGCTCCCGGGCTGCGCCCACCCCGGAACCTTCTCCGCGTCCTTCCCCTCGCCCGCCGACCCCGCCTCGTCTTTGCGCTCCCCCGCCGCAAGCACCCGCAGCGAGCGTCTTTCGCTGCGCGCAGTATGTAGGCCCTGGCGAACGGCGGCTCTGGACATGCCTTGCGCGCACGAGAATGGTGGCGTGCGGCTGTCCGGATGCAACTCTGTCCGTACGCGGCATTGCGCGCGGTGGAATGATACTGATAGTTGCGAAGAGGAGAGCGCGACAACGCGAGAGGCAGCCATGGCGGAAGCGGGAAGGGCGCAAGCAAGTAATGCGAGCAGACCAGATCGGCTGCTAGTGACCTCTCAACCTGCTGAAAGGGCATTCGTTTGCCCTAAGAGTGTGTCCAGAGAGTACGTCTGAATGCGGTTGAACAGGGTTTGACAATGATCCAGAAAGTTTTATTTAACGAACAAAGTGGTTGGGTAGGGTTCTCGCATACCCTACAAAACCAAGGTTTCCACACCAAACATAAATCGGTCACACTGGTAAATGGTTATATAAAGGTAATAACTGTTATGCTTGCAGAGTGCGCAGAATAACGAATAACGAGAATGTCGAATACTGATGACGATACAAGGAAAGTGTCGAGACTGTTACAAAAATTGAAATACTACTGTGCACTCCTAACCGCAGTGTGAAACACGTAGTATCGGGAATGAACACGAAGAGTCAGAATGACTCGAAGCGTCACACACGGTTGGGAAAGATCTGGACCGTCGGAACAGACAGCATCGGGCAGCTGCAGGTTCAAGGGAATTGGCGGGAACAGTTTCGTAACTGTTCGAGTCGCACGGTTGGGATGAATTTGAATAAAGGAATGTATTCCTTATAGTACATGGCTAGCTAGGTCGATTCGAATTCCCCTGTACTCATATTTATATTTGCAGTTGTCAGGACTCAGAATGTGTTATTTGTCTAGTCTGCAGTAGGGTACTCTATAGTGAGTACAGCCCAACTAGGGTTTGCTATATGTATCCCATTGCTTGCTAGTGAAACCCCTCTTCTCTTTTGCCTATTCTCTCTTGCCTAGCTAGCTAAACCCTAGCTATGGCTCCTTCATTCTAACTACTATTTTGACATGCTATCAGAGCGGTTACGCTCCTGGCCTGTGGGCCCACCGTTAGCTTCCGCTGCTGTCCTGTCTTTCGCGCGCCCCGTGGCGCGCGACGTTTTTTCTTCCTGCCACGCGCTCGGGGCGCATGGCGGTTTCCTGCCCGCCGCGCGCTCGGGGCGCGCGGCGGTTTTCTGCCCGCCGTGCGCCCCGAGGCGCGCGGCGGTTTCCTGCCCCGTCGACCTGCGCGTCGCCCCCCCCGTCGTCCGTCGAAGCGCCCCCCGGGACCTGCGCGTCGCCCCCCGTCACCCGTCGAAGCGCCCCTGGGACCCGCGTGCGGCCCCCGCCATCCCGGCGCACCACCCCGTGGGACCCGTGCGCCGCCCCCGTGGACCCGCGTGTCGCCCTGCGGCCCCCCCCCTCCCCGCACACCTGAGTTTGCTTACCGCACACCCGAGTTCGCTTCCCGCACGCTTGTGCACGCTTCGTGCACACCTGAGCTCGCTTACCGCACACTCAGGGTATGGGGGTGACGGGTATGGGGGTGGCGGGTGTGTGAGCTGTACCTTGCTCCTCCTCCTCCTCCGTCTCCCACTTCTGCAGCTGCCGCTGAGGGGGGTGGGTGTGTGGGAGCCGAGGGAGTGATGCTAGGGGGTGGCGTGTGAGCAGTGCTAGAGGTACAGCAGGGGGTGTGTGAAAGGGGTGTGAGACAGCTGGGGGAAGTTGAGTGGAGGCAGCCGTCTTGTCGTCCGCAGCGCCTATAGTCCGGGGTTTAGCCTGGTAGCCCAGAGAGCCAGCTGCGCCTGTCGCCGTGTAGTCCGGGGCTCTGCGCCTGGTAGCGACAGTGCTGCGCACTCCTGGGAGCACAGAGAGCCAGCTGCGCCTGTCGCCGTGTAGTCCGGGGCTCTGCGCCTAGTAGCCACAGTGTTGTCGAAATACTAGGCAAGAATCAGAAACAGGAAAGAGAGGTTTTCACTAGCAGCAGTTGAGATACATATAGGAAACCCTAATTGGGTTGTACTCGCTATAGAGTACGCCACTGCATGCTAGACAAACATCACATTCTGACACACCCCCATGGTTAAAGTGGGGTATAATCAGCACAACAAGCAGGCAGAGCAATAGTTCACAAGGATAAGCAAAGCTAGAGGCTATCACAGAGGGCAAGTTAGGAGGAGGAGAAACTGTGGGGGGCGAGAAGATGGGAGGCGACGGCTGAAGCTGCAGACACACGGGCAACAGGAGTGCGCAGCACTGACGCTACCAGGCGCAGAGCCCTGGACTACACGCCCCGGGAGCGCGCGGCGGTTTCCTACCCCGGTGACCCGTGGGGCTCTGTCGCCGTGTAGTCCGGGGCTCTGCGCCTGGTAGCCACAGTGCTGCGCGCTCCTGTTGCCCGTGTGTCTGCAGCTTCAGCCGTCGCCTCCCATCTTATCGCGCCCTCAGTTTCTCCTCCTCCTCACTTGCCCACTGTGATAGCCTCTAGCTTTGCTTATCATTGTGAACTATTGCTCTGCCTGCTTGTTGTGCTGATTATACCCCATTTTGACTATGGGGGTGTGTCAGAATGTGTTATTTGTCTAGTCTGCAGTGGGGTACTCTATAGTGAGTACAGCCCAACTAGGGTTTGCTATATGTATCCCATTGCTTGCTAGTGAAACCCCTCTTCTCCTCTTTTGCCTATTCTCTCTTGCCTAGCTAGCTAAACCCTAGCTATGGCTCCTTCATTCTAACTACTATTTTGACAGCAGTATTTGCATGATTGAGAAAGCTTGCTTTCTGTTCTTGCAAGGCATCGTGTTTCATTACAATTGGGCATCGTGCTTCATTACAATTGCAGTAATTACAACATTCTCGTCCAACTATAGATTATAATTTCGTATATGACTAGGGTGGGTGGGTGGGGAGTGGAACTGCAAGTTCCAAATGAAGACGTGGGTGGAGGCCAAATGGCCTCCAACCCTCGTTATGTACTCGGCGAATTGTAATTCACCGTTGCCTTGCTACGATACGATCAAATGCGCTTTCACAATACATATTTTTAGAAAGTGTTACACACTTCAAAAAAATAATCATATTGAGAAAGCTTGCTTTCTGTTCTTGCAAGGCATCGTGCTTCATTACAATTGGGTCTTCTGAGACATGTGCAGTTGGGGGCGTTGAAGACTTGTTGAGTGCGGCCGCGCCTAACGAAATTGTCGAAGTGCAGAGAGGTGGCGTTGCGTTGGTGGCACCAACTTGGTGCCATATTGAAAGGATTAGGACAGTTGTTCGTGCGAGGTTGCTTGTTCTCTTAATATAGGCATCCCTGCTCACAGTTGTTGGCGTCGTTGGCTCATATGAAAGGGGGATATTTATGACAAATTTTCCGTTTTAAATGATATGGCAATATACATTATGCAATCTACCGTATATCCATATGATACACCTCCACAACAATGTGCCGTATGTGGTAACCATATCAACCCGAACAGTCCACCTTCCATAGGGCGACGATGGGCCCCCTGGCCAGCACGGGACCCTCGGTCCCCTTCTCCCCTTGGGGAACGGCCCTCTGGCCAGCACAGGACCCTCAGTCCCCTTCCCTCCTTGGGGAGCGACCCTCTGGCCAGCACGGGACCCTCAGTCCCCTTCCCCCCTTGGGGAATGGCCCTCTGGCCAGCACGGGACCCTCGGTCCCCTTCCCCCCTTGGGGAACGGCCCTCTGCCCAGCACGGGACCCTCGGTCCCCTTCTCCCCTTGGGGAACGGCCCTCTGGCCAGCACGGGACCCTCGGTCCCTCTCCCCCCTTGGGGAACGGCCCTCTGGCCAGCACGGGACCCTCGGTCCCCTTCCCCCCTTGGGGAACGGCCCTCTGGCCAGCACGGGACCCTCGGTCCCCTTCCCCCATTGGGGAACGGCCCTCTGGCCAGCACGGGACCCTCGGTCCCCTTCCCCCCTTGGGGAACGGCCCTCTGGCCAGCACGGGACCCTCGGTCCCCTTTCTCAAGTGAAGGACCATGCGCGAGTGCACCAAGAGTTGATGTAGACATCGTTGCCCCAAATTGTTATGCTTGGCCTCCTGCCAATGATTATGCCTTGCACCAGGAAAATTTGAAGGCTGAGGAATTATCGAATAAAAGAATTATCGAATGAACGGAAAGAGAATCCAAATTGCAGCAATAAACAAGTTAGCTTGAGATAGTAGAAAGAGTTAGCTACGTGGCAATGCTGGTGTCGAACCAGTAAATGCAGGATCACAAGCGGGTCTTTGGCGATTGCGTCAGTCGCGCCCCTGGCGATTGCGTCAGTCACGCCCCTGGTGGTTGCGTCAGTCGCTCGAGCCCCTGGCGATTGCGTCAGCAGCGAGTCTGACGCTTGCGTCAGTCGCGCGACTGACGATGGTGTCGCCAGGTGCGCCATGGGCGAGTTCGCCTTAGGCTCGCTAGGGCGGGTTCGCCCTGGGTCGCGCGCTCATTTGATGCGGGTTTGGCGCCGATTTCTTGTCCGCGGGTGTAGTCGCAACTCTCGCCGTCGACGTGAAATCGCGTGGCTTAACCATGATAAATAACTAATAAAAACAACTTATAGAAATTAGTGCCTACTATGCGAGGTTCTAGTGTCAACAGAAATCGAGAAAGGTCACCTGGGTAGTTGGATGAGAATGGAGTGGAACTACACGTTCCAAATGAAGACGTGGGTGGAGGCCAAATGGCCTCCAACCCTCGTTATGTGCACGGCGAATTGTAATTCGCCGTTGCCTTGCTGCGATACAGTCAACTGCGCTTTCACAATACACATTTTTAGAAAGTGTTACACACTTGAAAAAAAAATCATGTTTAACTGTCTCAAGCATTTTACATTCACTCTGCTATTCATGTAAAGGGTGTCAGACTATTATGCTGCTTATGTTGAGTAGGCTGTAGTGGGGTAGCCTGTATATGGTACAACCCAATTAGGGTGCATTCCGCGCTGAACACTTTCTCAAAGAAAGTGTCCCAATTGGCCCGAGTCGCCCTCAAATGTCTCGGGACCTCATGTCCCAATCGACCAATGTATTGCGACCCTGCACGACCAGGG